GACACACAAGAGTAAATACCAAATAGTTTCTCTGGTATGAAAACTAAAAGTATAGGCAAGGTTCAAATGGTATAACTGATAGTGTGAAATAGGAAGAAAGGGGCTAAAGGTGTAGGGAAAGTGAGAAAGGTAGGGGAAAGGAAATGAGGGACAAGAAAAATATGAGCAAAGGAAAATGTAAAAAAAGGTTTTATAAATAGGGAAGGGTGAAGGGGGTGAAGGGAGGCCAGGGGAATGGGGGAAAAAAAAAAGAACCAAGATACATCATGTAAAGGTACAAGATCCCAATGATGAATGTAACTGTATTGTTTACCTTAATTGTACCCATAAACTTAATGAAAATAAAAGGAAAAAAGAAACAAAACACTTTAAAGATGGGTTTCTAAGCATTTTTAAGAGAAAAATTTAGTGGAGGGCATAGCTCAGTGGCAGAGTGCTTGCCTGGAATATACATGGCCCTAGGTTTGAATCCTCAGAACCACACACACATACAGCTTTATCCTGCTATTATTATTTTTTGAAAATTGTTTTCATTGGTGGGCAATGAACCCAGAGGCTCCTGTGTTATTAGGTAAATGTTCTACCACCAAGTTACATCCCAACCCAGATTTTTTAAATGTTATCTGAATGATAAGCCATATACAAGATCAAAGGACTTTCAATTGTTGTAGTCAGGGCTGACAAAGGAATAGATTTGATACAGATGCATTATTTATAGGATTATTTTATAATACTCACCCAAAAAGTCAAATGCAGAGGAGCGTAAGAGACCTAGCCACACACTAGAGACCCAAAGAATCTAGCCAAAGCCCTGGATCCCACAGCAGTGTGCTGCACAAGTCCAGCTAAAGGCCTAGAGCCCAAGGCAATGTCCTCCAGGAGTCCAGCCAGTGGCCAAAAGCCCATGGCAATATCTCATGCTCACCTGTATGGAGGATCTGCACCTGGAAGACCCAAAGGCCAGGGGTGAAAGCCTATCTTGTGCCAGTGGGGTGAAGGATCAGTGCCACCAGAATGAGGGATCTACACTGGCGTCAGGAAGTGACACTCATGGTGAAGACCAATGCTCCCCTGATGAGAACAGCAGTGGTTCTCAGCCACACGTAGGCCCCGAGCTCCTCCTCCCACAAGAACAGCCAAGTTCGCATCAGGAAAACCAACCACAGCAAGCTTCCCCTAGAAAATCAAAAGCCCAGCATCTTCTCCTCCAGTTCTCTTTTTATGTCTTGACAACTATCCTCAGGTGGATCTTCCACGCCCAGCCACCCTGACTCAGTTCGATGGGCATTCCAAGTTAACCATTAGTTAATCCACCACACAATGAAGTTGGCAACTAATGGTAATACCTGTGACCCAAAAGGTTATCTCCTTTTAATATAAAGGCATCTTCAAATCAATGAGATGTAGCTAAAAATACAAAAATGGTCACATTTACATGAGTAGGAATTTCACAGAAAAAGCTTATTATTTGGAGGAAATATTATTTTCTCAAGGGGATATTAATTTAAGTAATAAAAATTATTTAAGATTTGCAAGTTTACATGTTCGTACATATATTTGTGATGATATGCACAACCAGTTATTCCTACACACTACTAAAGTGGTTTCACCTTTCTGAAGGACAATCTGACATCTCTCAAAATTTTAATCTCCTGGATTCTTTAATAATACAGAGGGCTAGGGATTTAGCTCAGTGGTTCCACTGCCTGCCTTGCAAGCACAAGGTGGCGAGTTCAATCCCCAGTACAAAAAAAAATAATAATAATAATGATAATAATAACACACACCGAAACATAGGTGTAGGATACTTATTATGATTGTTGTTTGTAAGAAAGCAAAATTAACATAAAGATTCATTAATAGGGAACTGGTTAAATACATTAGTATATTCATATAATAGAATACTATCCGCACTTTTTTAAAATTAGTCAATCTGCGTTTATTGAAAAGGCAAACATCCAAAATGCACTAAATGAAAAGCAGGAAGTCGTAGTGAAAGACGTCCAATATGCACTCATTTGTGTAAAACAAACAAAAGACACACTTTGCATGCCTCTATGTGCACAGAACATTTCTGGAAGGGTAAACAGAGCTCTTAACTGTGGTTCCATCTGGAAGCGATTCTGTTTGAAATTTTTACTGTGATTGTGTATTTCTTTAGTAATAAAAAATATATAGTTAAAATATAAAAAGCCTCATGCTGCTTCCTCAGAAATTCCTTAAGTGAAGGAAATTAAGCTAAAAAAGTTAAGAACTTAGTGCTTCCTCCTAAAAATTGGCTTTTGGAGCCGGACGGAAACGGATGACTCAGCGAACAGCGGGGTGCAGGGAACCCCTAACCGGGCGTCTGGGCGCGGAGGTGCTGAGGCTGGGGAGACCGCGGACCCGGCCACCCAACACCCAAGCCTGCTGCTCCGGGACTGGGCGCCCTCTCCTCTTCCTGTCCCCAGGGCAACATCAGCTCCGGGGGTCGTGGGGGCAGTGGACGAGGGAGCCCCAAGGCGACATCGGACGACACCGCGCCCGGCCCCCTGACCCCGG